GTCATTCCCTTGCTTTTTACCAAAGCAAAGAGGGAAATGCCCATTCAAGCACTATCAAGTAACTGTTTATCCAGCTCACCAGCAGAATGAACTTGTACATTCAGCTCACAAGCCCCTAGGACTCAAACTGACTAATTGAGACCATAAGCAGCCTGTGATGCCCCATATGGGCCAGTGACAGATGCTTGGCTAGTAGCTTTCACAGCTATCTGCTGACACCAGAATTAAAAGCAAGTCTTGAGCCCACCTCAGGCCTCGGGGAGATGCTGCTCAGCAGTCATGTCCTGCAATGCCTGCTTCCCCCATGCTGAACTGCTTCGGCCTGATATGTACTACTGTCCACTTTTCCAACTCCTGCTGCTCCTCCTCTCACTCTGCACAAATCATACAGCCTTCTAAGTTGGAAGGGACCTTTAAGATCTTCTAGTCCAACTATCAACCTAACTCTGATAAAAAAACAAAAGAAAACCATACAAAAAAAAAACCCCACATTACTAAACTATGCCTCTAAGCACTATGTCAACCCACCTTTTGAAAATCTCCAGGGATGGTGGTTCAACCACTTCCATGGGCAGCCCATTCCAATGCTTAATAATCCCTTCAGTGTAAAAATTTTTCCTAATATCCCATCTGAACCTCCCCAGGCACAACTTGAGGCCATTTCCTCTTGTCCTATCACCCGTGACTTGGGAGAAGAGACCAGTCCCCGCTTCTCTACAACTTCCTCTCAGGTAGTTATAGAGAGCAAATGAAGAATCCTTGCCGTGCCTCCCTGTTCAGCCAAATCAAAATCTCCTGCTGAGGCTCTGTAGAGTAGAAATCCAATTATTAAATCCAAGGATCTGGCCTCTGGCTTCCGGAAACACAGGTCAAGAGGTTGAGCAAGTATTCTGCAAGTATCATTATACTCTTGGCTTGGCCTCGCACTTTCCTCGACAGCTGCTTTGACCACTCTCTGAGTCAGGATATTGGGCTGGATGCACCTTGATCTAATCTAGCGCAGTTACTCTTACGTCTACACCCCAGCCTCGTCCATCCCTCCACATAATTCCTCTTTGCCCAACCTGTGACAGCTCTGTCCTCCACCCTGTCCCACAACAACCTCACTCCCAGGTGAAACGTGACTTAAGAAAACAGCCTCCAACAAGTCCCTGCTGATCACATGCGAGGGGAAGATTTTAATGGTTAAGTGAAAATTTGCAGTTTGCAAAATGTTTGCCCCCTGAGTAAAAAGCCATCACATTAAGCAAATGATCAAAGCCGATAAAAATGACAACTACATTTCCCAAAAAGAATGTTCAGGAAGGGGGAAAATTACTTTGTTCAATATGGTCCAAAACCCCTCTTATTTTTGGTTTAAAAAAAAGAAGTAAAAAATAAGAGAATTAGAAAATGACAACTACATTTCCCAAAAAGAATCTTCAGGAAGGGGGAAAATTACTTAGTTCAATATGGTCCAAAACCCTTCTTATTTTTGGTTTAAAAAAAAAAGAAGTAAAAAACAAGATAATTGCTCCTCCTGTTAAATATTTACATTTAGGAAAAAAAACAAAAACCAAAAAACACACAGAAGAGGTTTTGTTTAGGGGCAGAGGGGAAGATTTTAATGGTTAAGTGAAAATTTGCAGTTTGCAAAATGTTTGACCCCTGAGTAAATAGCCATCACATTAAGCAAATTATCAAAGCTGATGAAAATGACAACTACATTTCCCAAAAAGAATCTTCAGGAAGGGGGAAAATTACTTAGTTCAATATGGTCCAAAACCCTTCTTATTTTTGGTTTAAAAAAAAAAGAAGTAAAAAACAAGATAATTGCTTCCTATCACCACCCAGCTTCACAGAAAAATCATGCAAGTTGGTGAAGGTCTACAGATTTCCAGCTGTTTGCTGACCGTTACCTGAAAGTATCACTTCAACAGTGATACTGTTGAAGAAACCAAGCACTTTTTTTCACAAAAAAAGGGCAAAATTGAGCCCTTGGCTCTGCATAACAACACTGTGCACAGTGTTTTCACCATGCATTAGCTTTCAAACCCAATGTAAATCTCGTATTTACTTTTACTAGAAGCTTTACAGCACTGCAAAAACATTTAAAATATTTCTAATCCTCTTAGGAGGTATAGAAGATTTCAAGGTAGATTATGTTTCCCCATTATCAACCTACTTAAGTTTAAGCTTAAGACTGGTTTTCTTCACCTCTTTGTTAATCAGAAAGCAAACCTTGTACTTGTATGAAATGAGTAAACACAGGAGAAACTAAAGCTTGATTGTTTGGTGACAAAGCCATCATTTTTTTTTGCTGTTTAGGGATCTGATACCTTGAGACAACATGTTCCAAGAAAATACCAAAAGACAAGATGCTCCTAAAACAGTAAAATGAGACAGGCAAGACTGCAAGGACAAGGGTTATCTCTGTGTCATATGTTTGCGCGCCATCTAATACACATGGTCTCATCAGGGAAGCACAAACCATATCATGATGAAATCACTAAGCAGTAATAGTCTTAGAGACGAAAACACACCGACCGGGTCATCCAGTCCATTCCCCAGACAGTGCCAGTCTGCTCCCAGTCATACACTTTAAGGGATTAAACACCAATATATTGAAATAAGTAAGGAAAATAACTGCGCAGTGAATATACAGCTTCAAGAGTCAATATATTGAAATAAGTAAGGAAAATAACTGTGCAGTGAATATAGAGCTTCACAGTTGGTATCACAGGAATACTACAGGTGCCAACACTATCACAACAGCTCTGTCCATCTGCTCTGAGAATTGCCCTGCTTCTTAATCTTTCTGCAAGACAAATGATTGTGCCAGTCTGCACAATGATTTTGTGACACGGACAGTCACAGCAGGAAAAAAAAAAAGTCTATTTTTAGATCTCATCCTCCATCTGCCCACACACAAGTTTGATTGAATATCAAGTCTCTATTCAGGCTCTCTTCTGCACCGAGTCTTACTACAATCATCCCATTTGGAGTCCAAAGTAGCTCCGGAAAACACCTTTATAAGGAAATAGCTAGGAAATAGCTTAGGAAATAGCACATAGGAAAATGCGTTGTGATGTTCAAAATAGGACCTTACATGTGATCCTGGAAAAAAGCTTTATTACTGCAGATAGTCAAGTAATATGTTTATAAAGGCCCCATGTAACTCACCCCATGAACACAAGCAGCTGGTTTTTACAGACAAGCTTCATTCTGATGAAATAATGAAAGCCTCCCTTAATACCACCACCTATGAGCCCCAAATACAACCACCTCACTCTCACAGATGCTGCTGGCTCCTTCACTAATCCCAATCCACTAATCTTGTAGAAAAAAATGTGGCAAATATAATATAGTGTCACGAGGTTGTTAGTCTACACACAACACTGACAAACCAGCTCAGATTTGCAAAGCAGCAAGAAATATTCTGCGTGGTGTAGAGTGGCCCACAATCCACACTGTCCACTTAACCCCATAACTAGCCAGAGAAAGAAGCAATGTATTTAAGCATTTTGGGTACTTTTATTTTAGGGTGCACAACTCAAGATGTTATTCTCAGAGTGCTGAAACCTGACAGTAAAAAAAAAAGAACCTCCAGTACCTTCAAAAGGTATTAACATGGACACCCAAAAACTCGGGCCATTTTTGGAAGCCAAGGTGACTGTGTATGCTTTGCCCTTTCACGTCATGAGAGAACACATTTTTAATGTCTCACCTTTTCATGCCTCACCAGTCAGACACGCAGAAACATGAAAGAAAAGATAGTGTGATTCATGGGAAAACCCAAAACAAACAATCTGCTCTCAAAAAAGGAGCATCCTTCAGACTCTGCCACTGCAGCACAGCCATGCCGTTCGCTGCCAGCGAGCAGAGCAGTACAAACACTGCAAGCTCTCCTTTTGTGGACACTAACATTTTATCACAGCTAGACAACACCTTGCCTTCCAAGTACACCTCATACAAGAGCTTCTACTCCCCTAAAAAGACCTCCCACTAATATACCATACCAAATCCCTGCAGTAACTACAAACACAGCCTGCCTGGTAGAACACCAGCAAAGAATTAGGACATACCTGTGTCCAGGTCAGCAGTGGGAACTTACAGGGGAGGGAATCCCTGTTGGGCAGCTTCCTAATTTTGCCACCGACAGGCACATTTGGCACCTTTGTAAAGGGGCAAAAGGGGGACAAGCAGGTACAAGCTATCATTTTTTTTTGCATTTCAGTACTCATGGCATGGGTCTAGCAGAAACACTAATTTTAATTCTGAGCTTCTACAAATTCCTGAGCCAAACTGCTCCTGTCAAAAGCTCTTTGCGAGATCGCAGCTCCATTTGTTTGGAGTGACATCCATTACATTATGCTGTCAAACATCAGACCACAGTCAACACTTCAGAAACGTTGGATTAGGACCAGCAGAGACACATGTTGGTATGGGAAGCACTAACAGAAGCTGTAAGTTTGCCCGAGTAACACACTTACTCTGGGAAGAGGTCACCACCTTACTTACCCCGCTAAAACAGCTAGTTTCTCTGCTAAACACCAGTATTTCCTACCATGATAAAAAAAACCCTAAGCAGCAGATACAAGCACCAACAATTCAATCAAATTTAAAGGGAAAAAAAGGCAAACAAACAACCTTACCCCATCCAAATCACACATACTAGCATGTATTAACTGTTACAAAAAACAGTAACACAACCACAGATTAGGACAGAATGGTATGTTTTTCCTCACTACTTCTAGCAGCACCAAGGTAGTTAATCTATTTGACTAATCTCCCACCACCAGAGCTCCTATCCATCTGATGACATGGCAATTTGAAAGAAACCTCGCTTGCACTTTCACTTTTTTTCATGGGAACCGCAGACGCAACTTAAAAAAGAAAGTTCCTTTTAAAAAGATGTCATTTGAAGAAAGCATGCAACATCTCTGCAGATCCCCAGCTTTACATTCAAATCTACTGCATCTTCAGAAGAAATAACAGCAACAACAAAAAAAACACGTTACCTGGAGCATCAGTTCACAGTCATCTCTGCCAACAAATATCATCTCCCGAGGGAGCCGATGGCGAATGCCGGTGCTGCTCACCAAGAACCACGAAGTCACGCTCATTTTGGCGCTTGGCACTTAATCTTTATACATCCTAAACACAAAAAAAAACCCAAACAGAACAGTGAGCTGTTAATGAAGTTAATGAGTACACCAGTGCAGAGCTGCAGTTCCCAAATTCCCTCCTGCGATGGGACCCAGCGCTGCCTCTTGCACTTTGCGTTCATGTCAGAAAAACGTCTCCTGGTGACAAGCAGCTGTGAAGTGTGTGCCAGGATCTGCTGCCCATGTGCCATGTGTAGGAGCTCTGCAGCCCTGGAACTATTCCCACAGAGAAGTTAAGACTAAGGATCTGAAGGAAGGATTATTTTGGTGGGGGGGGGAATGAAGCATGCAGCTGAATCCAATCAATGAAATGATGAAATATGGTGGGAAGGGAAAATTAAATAAATAAAAAAAAGAGACATCTTTTCCAGAACATTTCCTCATCACCAGCACTGTGTGCAAATCGCAGCTTGAGCTTCCCCATCATCAACGATCTGGACCAGCACAGCAGTGAGGTGACATAACCTGGCTCCTTATAACCTTTCAGGGCACGCTCCCAGGAGCGGTTACAGCGGCGCTGGGAGGAGAAACAGCCTCCCTATTGCTCATCCCACTTCCACGCTGAGAGAAGCCGGGAGCCCACAAGTCCTGCCTCCCTCCCTTCCTCCCTCCCTGCATGAGCTGGTCCAAAACCCAAACCCAGGAAGCCCGGGTGGGTGTTGGTGGACACCGCTCCTCTTTCCCCCTCTCCCCGCAAGAGGCAGAGGAGCAGGCAGCTGTAACCCGGGAGGGCAGCAGGTCTTATCGGGCACTCTCCCAGCCACACCTGTTTGTTGTCGCTGCTGCAAGCCCGGCTGCGGGCAGCCCGTTCCCGGCGCCTCTCCTCCCTCCTCTCCCTCCCCGCAACACCGCCTTTTCCTCTCCCCGGCTGAGGCCAAAAAACACCGGCGGCGCACACCGGGCCCTCGCCTTGCCCTCACCCACCTCCCTGCATCCAAGCTGCTTTCCGAAACGGGAGGAGATCTCCATTTTTATCCCTCTTGCGCCGCGCTCCACCGGCCTCTCCACCGGCCTCCCCCGCCCCACCGGCCCCGGGGCCGGCGCAGGTGCCACCCGCGGGAGGATGAACGGCCTCCCCCGGCGGAGCGCAGGCCCGGGGAGGGAGGGGGAGGCGAGGGCAGCCCGCACGCCCCGCCGCCCTCTGTCGCTGCGGCCCCGCATAAACCGCTCTGGGCAAGCGGGGCGGTTGAAAAGCTTCCGTGCCCGTGTCACGACACGCCGGCGGCCGGCCCTATCGGGGGAAACGCCGCCTGCCCGACAAAGCGCTCGGGGAGGGGAGCCG